AAAACATCCTGCAAAGTTTTAAATCTGAAAGTGCACCGTGTATAAAGTTATTGTCTTTCAAAAGAAAGAGTCGACTCTGAGTCATGAAAACGAGTCGTTTTTAAAACGAATCTTTAGCTGTTTCAAGGTGACGTCAAAATGAAACATTAGCATATTTATGCCCGCCTACTTGTTGCGCGCGCAGACCCGGAAAAACTTGAACCTCCCCTCCCTCAAACACCGTAGCGGATTGAAGGTCTCCGTCTAACCTGCTAACAGCAATATCGGTTCGCTCGCAATTGTCTAGATATGTGTCGATGAATAGTGAATATTTGTTGTTGTTATTACTTGAAGTTCTGATAAAGAATAGAGCAATGCGTTGGTGTACAAACTGCAGTGCTTTATCAATACGTTTCTGCATTGGGCTAACACATATACCATGGCTGTTTGGGTGTTTACCACCGAGCTGTGGGTGATGGGCGTTCTGTTATTGACATGCGCTGCACGCAGTAGACCAATCACTACAGACTGGGTCATCAGACCAATCCCCGCATTTTTTACGTCACGCAAAGGAGGGGTTTGGAAAAATGAATCGTTGAGTGAATTCGTTTGGGAGTCGTTGAGCAAGTAAGGTAAAAATAAATGCATATTATAAGACAAGGAAAGTGTTTTTTTGACCTTGCATGCATGTCAACCTGTTGTTGGGGACTCCCAAAACCAAAATATGAACCTTTCATTACCCATAATAGGGGCATTTTAACTTCGCGACTATAAAACAAGTAGCCTATGTTCTATATCCACCTTTATCCTAACGTGTCTGCTGCTTTTTAGATTATGGGAGGCGCTTCCAGTTTGAGGAATTTCCACTCAAAAAGAGCGAAACCAATCATTTCGAATCATCGAGATTCGCTGTAAATAATCACATCTTTCAGTTTGACGTTCATACGTCAGGGGATGACGTAACGCTCCGTGTTTTAAGTATGTTGAACCAAAACTGTTAAAGAGAAGTAATTTCTTGGCAATTAAAAGTTATAAAGCCCACTGAATCATACTCAGACTTAATGCTGACAACAATGAAACCACTTGAGAGAGAACTGTCAGGAGATTTATTTCTTAGCATACAAGAGGACAATGATATAAGAGGAATACCAAATCATTGTTTTGTTTGTTTTTTTAGTGTGAAAATATAGCAAAAGTAGCTATATTTTAGCTATTAAACAAAGTAACTTACTGTCTTAATTGTTTGGCCTTTTAGAAGGCACATTAACTTTCAAATTTACAATTCTGCGTGTTTGCTGTGTAAAGGTATAGGTTGATTTTCACACTGGTCTGTAGACGGGGATTTCAGATTTGTCTTTTTATCACTCCATGAATCAGAAAATACTGTCAACAAACTGGCTAATTGAAAATGCACATTCGTTCTCTGCCAGCAGGTGGCACTGTTGGAATGACAGAATATAGTGATTTCCCCGGTAACCGCTGTAATCAAAGCAGGCCCTCGCTTACAGTTAAGATGAAATAAAAATGTCATCGAAACGTATCTGAAGACGTTCCAATCGTTGTAAATAGGGCGCGTGTGAACACTCATTCAGAATTTGCATAATCCCCATCTATGAATTATAACTACATAAGTTACGTGTCCAGGAACGCAGTGGAATATTCTGGTCTACTTTCTCAGGTTTGGCTCCAGTATATTGCATAAATGCAATAAAGACTAATATGCGATACGCCTAACAATAAATATTCAATAACGTGTCCACCAAAGAGTTTTTAGCCAGCTAAAAAAATGCCAGGTGCTCTTCTGAAAACGACCAGCTGGTGGCGCTTGAGAACGCTTTGGTGGCACAGCGTTTTTCCAGCTGAGAAGCTTTGGTTGCTATGATTTGAAATATCCACGGCAGTAACGTATTACTAGTATCTCATCTTGAAGATTATTACTGAATATAAAAATGCAGTAACCAGCAATATTAACTTATCTATTGTTGTTCAGTTGTTGTACAAGTAGGACGGTGTAGTATTTGTCCTGCCCCTCCTCCATTGATTGGGTGGCTGGGTAAAAAGTGACAGTGACAAGCGCTGCGTTTTACCCAAAGCTAAACAGTTAAAAAGACAATGCAAACAAACTTGTGAAAATTATTATGGTAGTGCATCAAAATCCAGTGTCATCAGTTTGACAAAAAGAACAGAATGTTTTACACACCATTTACACGTGGCAGGGAACCGGTGTACATTTCTTTCTTACCAACCAACATTTCGAAAATACGAACATTTTCATGAATTCGAAAATTTACGTCAGAACGGCTTTATAAACTATTTACACAAATATTCCTTCTGCTCGTGTTTCATGAATGAGGCCCAATATTTTTCAAAATGACATAAATCGCTGAAATATTATCACTCGGTGTTATTGTTAATGAACATGTTGCATAATACCGACACATGTTCTTACAATAATATTGAACACATCTGTAATATTGCTGTGAAAATAACCAAGCTTAGACCATCAGAGGAACTGAAAGAGTTTCTCAGCTGTGCTCAAGACTTCTCTTGATCCTCCCTAAAGCAGCATCAGTTCTGAGACTCGAACCCTTCCCATTACAAAGTCTAAACCCTGAGCAATCTGGATCTTTACAGCCTCCGTCTAAGGAACAAGATGTTTCTATATGAACATGTGTCTTCAGATGTGCTCTAGAGATGGGTGTTTGTTTCAGGGAGCTGTCCGATCTTCCTGAGCTGAGATGCTGAGCTAAAACCAGAATGTGTTGTGGCACGACACACAGACAGCTACTGTGGTTAAACACAGTCAACATAAAAATAAAAATGATCCTGCAAGCTTTAATCACTTCAGGTAGACTGGCATATTACAGAGATTATAACACTGCAGTTATGCATTTAAGGAATCTGTGTGACAAATTTAAGAATCTGTAACTGTAAATGTGCTTTTGTTACATTTACGAATGCACTCCGTTGCTCTTGTTTTAAACTTCTCGGTCTTTTCTTGAATGCATGCAGTATTTCACACTAAATGACATCCATGAGATCATAAGTGAAAGTGTAATCAGGTTTAGGGCTGTGTGATTACATCAGTGAAGCTGTCAGCCCTGCACATTGTCTGACCACTGCTGGTTATGAAGACGAGTCTGGAGAGCTGTGGAGCAGAATACAGTTATAATGCTCAACCCTGCAGAAACAGAAAATTTGTGTGTGTGTGTGTCTGTGTGTCTGGCAGGATTCAGAGATCTGAGGCGTCCTGAGAACGTCAGCGTCGACTCGCTCAACACCCGTTATGTGCTGCGGTGGGACTGGCCTCATGAGACCGCCGCCAACCAGACTGTCACCTTCACTGCACAGTATCTAGAGTAAGAGCCTTAATATGTGTTTGCTTCATGCACGTGACCCGTGTGTCCATGATTATTTGGGTTTGTGACTGAATCAGCTGATAAAGTGAAGAAACAGGTCATAAGACATCACAAACACTGTAATAGATAGTTTGAGGAGATTTAGGCCAAGGATATGATCACGTTCTAATGTGTGACACATTATAGTTAAAACAGTCCATCTAACTGTGTAAATGCTTCTTAAGGTCAGGTTTATTTTTCATCTCAAAATACTAAGGAAAATATCTGTTAAATTATATTTAGCATAAAGAAAATTAGGCCTACACTTTTTTGGAATGTCAACAGTCTTTTCCTCCAGATGTTTTGTTTTTATTCTCACTGTTACTGTAATGCAGAAATGAGTGAAGGAAAATCAGCATAAATGAAAGACAGTACAACGAATACTACCAAGAGCATTATTGTTATAGTAATCTATATAATTTTTGAATTACAGCTGTAAGAAATGAGGGAGAAATGTTTAATTGTGTTTAGGCTTTATTAAGCCTTTAAACCCAAGGTGTCCGCACAAAAAAAAAAAACATAATCAAATTACTAAGCACTCCCTGAATGGAATAACATGAAATAGGTATAATTTTAAAGCTTAGAATCTCAGCTTTTTAATTCATTATTTTGATCAACTCTTAACGAGCCCCCCCCCCCACCGCGAAAACATTACTAATCAGATTTTTCAATTAAATTAAATCCCAATTAAAAAGAGCCCAGATATACCATAATCCGTCGATTAGATTGAAAGATATTCCTCATAGAGCTATAACACATAAAAAAGAATTAGGACATGTAGCTTAGCAAAAAAATCTGAGGTTGCAGTCCGGTGGCATTTTAGCTCGTAACTTAATGACACATGCGTAGATCATGACAAATCACATTATTTGCAGAAAATTATCTTGATTAAAAAGAGCCCAAATATACCATAATCCGTCAATTAGATCGAAAGATATTCCTCATAGAGCTGTAACACATTAAACCAGACAGGCGCAACAAAGAAAAACAACTCTACGCTTCACGTTGCGTTTTTATTCGTAACTTCATGATATATGCATAGATCGTGGAAAATTGCATGGTATTATTTTCAGAAAATTCTCCCGATTATATATTCTCCCGTCATAATCTGTCGATGAGATCCAAAGATATTGCTCATAGCTATAACACATAAAACCCAATGGGCACACTTGAGGCGCAGCAGAAGAAACAACTGTACATTTTACTTTGCGCTTTGTTCGTAACTTCATGAAACATGCATAGATCATGGAAAATGGCATGACACATTTCAAAAAATTCTCCCGATTAAAATGAGCCCACTCTTACTAAATCTCTCATTTAGATGTAAAGATATTCCTCCGTTATAACACATAAAACCCCAAAGGCGCATGTTATAACTTTCTCATCGTTTTTACGCTTGACATTTCATGAAACATGCTCCGATCGTGGAAAATGGTACATTATTCAATGGTATCATTATTTATAGCAAATTCTCATGATTGAAATGAGTCCAGAATCAAAACAATCCATTGCATTTTTGTGTGTAAATAATACCTAAACCCATTAATTGAATAAATCAGTTGGATACTGTAACTTTTGGATACTTTGTTATATTTACTGTGTTTGATGCAGGAGACAGCACTGGGGCTCCAGGAACAGGCTCGGGAAGCACTGCTTTACTGACAGATCAAGTGCACTCACGTCATCCTTTCCTCCAACAGGGAGTTTCGGTCACGGAAGGCCAGTAATGAGAAGTACTGGACATCGGTGTGTGCCAATGTTTTGGAGCATCACTGTGATTTCACTGGAGCTGAACTGCATTACAATGACTTATATCTGCTGCGTGTGTGGGCCAACACGTCTCAGCAGTCCCCCGGCTGGGTCCAGATCAGATTCTGTCCTGATAAACACGGTGATCCAGCTGTCTGTCAGTAGTCTGTCAGTCTGCCAGTCTGTCTGTCTGTCTGTCAGTAGTCTGTCTGTCTATCTGTCAGTAGTCTGTCTGTCTGTAGTCTGTCTCTGTCAGTCTCTCTGTCTGCCAGTAGTCTGTCTGTCAGTCTGTCTGTGTCAGTCTCTCTGTCTATCAGTAGTCTGTCCATCTGTCTGTCAGTAGTCTGTCTGTGTCAGTCTCAGATCAGATTCTGTCCTGATAAACACGGTGATCCAGCTGTCTGTCAGTAGTCTGTCAGTCTGCCAGTCTGTCTGTCTGTCTGTCAGTAGTCTGTCTGTCTATCTGTCAGTAGTCTGTCTCTGCCAGTCTCTCTGTCTGCCAGTAGTCTGTCTGTGTCAGTCTCTCTGTCTATCAGTAGTCTGTCCATCTGTCTGTCAGTAGTCTGTCTGTGTCAGTCTCTCTGTCTATCAGTAGTCTGTCAGTATGTCTGTCTGTCAGTCAGTCTGTCTGTATGTCTGTCAGTAGTCTGTCTGTCTGTCAGTAGTCTGTTTGTTTTCTGTCTGTCTGTCTGTCAGTAGTCTGTCTGTCTGTGTCAGTCTCTCTGTCTGTCAGTAGTCTGTCAGTAGTCTGTCTGTCAGTCTCTGTCAGTAGTCTGTCTGTTAGTTTTCTGTCTGTCTGTCAGTAGTCTGTCTGTCTGTCTGTCAGTCTCTGTTAGTAGTCTGTCTGTCTGTCAGTAGTCTGTCTGTCAGTCTCTGTCAGTAGTCTGTCTTGTCTGTTAGTTTTCTGTCTGTCTGTCAGTAGTCTGTCAGTCTGTCTGTCTGTCATTCTCTGTCAGTAGTCTGTCTGTCAGTCTCTCTGTTAGTAGTCTGTCTGTCTGTCAGTAGTCTGTCTGTCAGTCTCTGTCAGTAGTCTGTCTGTCAGTCTGTCTGTCAGTAGTCTGTCAGTCTGTCTGTCTGTCAGTAGTCTGTCTGTCAGTCTCTCTGTTAGTAGTCTGTCTGTCTGTCAGTAGTCTGTCTGTCAGTCTCTGTCAGTAGTCTGTCTGTCAGTCTGTCTGTCAGTAGTCTGTCAGTCTGTCTGTCTGTCAGTAGTCTGTCTGTCAGTCTCTCTGTTAGTAGTCTGTCTGTCTGTCAGTAGTCTGTGTCAGTAGTCTGTCTGTCAGTCTGTCTTGTCTGTTAGTTTTCTGTCTGTCTGTCAGTAGTCTGTCAGTCTGTCTGTCTGTCAGTCTCTGTCAGTAGTCTGTCTGTCAGTCTGTTAGTTTTCTGTCTCTCTGTCAGTAGTCTGTCTGTTAGGGTTAGTTTTCTGTCTGTCTGTCTGTCAGTCTCTCTGTCAGTAGTCTGTCTGTCTGTCTGTCAGTCTCTCTGTCAGTAGTCTCTCTGTCTGTCAGTCTCTCTGTCTTTCTATCTGTTCCTGGCACTGGCGTTTGATTCTGCTATACTGACCCCTGCTCTTTTCTTCTGCTCTCAGCTGCTTTAGGTCCTCCCTCCAGCTTGAAGCTGAGCTCGGTTAAAGGAGATCTAGAGATCATCATCACTGACCCTCTGAGCAGCACTAACCAGTCCATGAAAACTTTGCTGAACGACAGGTTGAGCTACCGCATCCAGTACTGGAGGCGCTCTGAAGAGCCTCAGGTACCTGTGCACACTCGCGCCAAAAGCTCTCGTATGGGTTTCAGCAGCGGCTGCATGTGGATACTGTCTGAATGTGGCATCTGCTGAGGACAAGCTGTGAACACAAAGCACTTCAAGTCATCTTCAGTTTCAATCTCAGAAATGCTGCTAAGTAGCGTGACCACATCCTGTAGAAAGATGGTGGTTTCTGATCTGAAACCAGATTCGTTCCTCTCAAAATGTTTATAGTTAAAACTATTGTCACACACACTGGGCTCCAATAGTCTGTGAACATGTGGGAACTATTCTTTTTTTTTTAAGTTTTAAATAAACTTTTGGGACTTTGAATAATGTAAAACAAAGAAGAAATAGTTTCTTAATATTACATTTAACTACTTAAATTGTAGTTGTATTTTTGTTTACTCATAATAATAGGTATAATGATGATCATTATTAGGTGGGGTCTTTTTTTTTCTTTAACTGGGCGCTCCTGGCCCTTCTAGTCATATATCAAAAGATTACACTCACTATAAAATGCAGTTAAGTGCATTTTTATCAAACACATTTATTTATATAGCACACATTGGCTTTGCATACCAGGAACTAACACATTCATATAATTTAGTAGGGATGTACGATATTATCGGACCGATATAGGAATCGTGTAAAATGTAAATATCGGAATTGGCCCGATATGAAAAATTATGCGTCTTGTGTCTTGCCGATAAGAGGATTAACTCACATGTGCTCGGGGTGTCCTAGCGATTAGATCACATCAGCAGTGTGGTCATTCTTGAAGCAAACTTTTGCCTTGATGATTAGATTCACTGTTTTGGATCGCTGCATTTAATTTGAGAATACATTTACAAGATGATGCGTTCGGTGTGTGATAGAGTCAACAGTCACTAGCAGCAGCGGCAGCCTCCTCCGGGTCCTAATACACCCGTCCAGTAAAGCGTTGTATTTACATAGGGGGGGCTGTTGGCCTACTTGTAACAAAATGTAAGTAAAATACACAAATATCACTAAGAATCTTGTTTCTGAATAAATAAAGCGGTATCAATGTCATAAAATCATGAGTATGTTTTAATGCAAAGGTCAGAAGCTATAGCTTACATAATTACAAAAAATCACAAACATGACACTTGTAAATTAAATAATTTTATATATACAGATTTATTCATTAATGTGTAATATGTTTTTTTTTTTTTTATGAATCATGAGCTCTAAAAGATTTTCACAATTTTTACAACTCTTGCCTTAGACCATCTACAAATGTTAAATCTAAAAATAATATTTTAAGGTTACCACTGCATCTTTCTGAAAAAAAAAAAATTTGCAGCGATATATAGCTGATTTATAATTATTTTCAAAGCTTTCAATGTACTGTCATTATAAAAGAACTTCATTATTATTTAATTCGAATAAATTAAAAATAATTATATTTTAAATTTCCGCACAGGACAGACTTGGTGTTGTTTCTAAACAAAAATAAATATCACGGTATCGGCTATCGACCAAAATGAGTTGAAAAATATCGGCAAAAATCCAATATTGTGCATCCCTACAATCTAGGATTATAAAATCAAGTATAAAATAAATACAAAATTAAGTGGAGTTAAATGCAAGTGAAAAATGTGAGTCTTTAAATGAGATTTAAATGCATCAAGAGAGGCACAAGATCTAATGTGAAGAGTTAAGCTGTTCCATAAGCATGAAGCTGCAATAGAGAATGCGTTAGATTTAACTGAAACCTTTGTACAGATCTTAATGGCCTAGGCCCTAGAGGACATGTGTAACTGAAGAACTTGGGTGCCAACCCATTTAAACCTTTAAAAAATAAATAACTTCTTATATTTGATTCTGAATTTGACTGGAAGCCAGTGGAGTGATGTTAATACAGGTGATATATTTGCATATTTCTTCGTCTTAGTCAAAAGCCTAGCATCAACATTTTGAACCAACTGCAGGCGTGAAAGTGAGGCATGAGAAACACTGTAATACAATGAATAACAATAGTCCAGTCTGGATGGAATAAAAACATGCATAACAACTTCCAAATTATTAAAAGACAATGTTTCTGAATTGAAGGAAGCTACTTCTAACCACATGGTTTATATGCTTATCAAACTCTGCATCAAAAATAACACTTCAAGTCTCTTTGCTTGATTGTGTACCTTGGATTTAAAGAGGCCCAGTGGTTCTTAATCCTGGATGCCTCTCTCTGCACATTGTGTGTCTCCCTTATTTACCACAACTGATTCAGATCATTGGCTCATTATTCAGGTGGAGAAAACTGGCTGCCATCCGCTCCATAATATCATTAAAACCAGTGGTGTACCATGGGGTTTCAGTCAGGGCCGTCAGTAAGCAACTGTAAACTACATACACACATCTTACACATCTCCGTTACAGCTAATGCAGCCATATGCATATAATGCGCATATTAAGCCACACACAGGCTCTCAACAACAATGACAGCTGATCAACAATTTCAACAGTAGGCTAGATTAGGGTGGGTTGAATGCAGAGTAAATTTCCCTACATGGATCAGTAAAAGTAATCCACCAATACACGGGTCACTATGCACATTCACGTCACTCTAAAATGACGACGCACCCACAGCAGCACCATCAACGCACCTCGTACACCTCCATAACAATGTGCATGATACAATACTCGTCAAATAATAAAGCACTCACCTGTCACTTCTGAATAAAGTCCATGCGTCTGTCATTCCATGTCCCTTTACTCGTATTAAAATGTAAACATGGCCAACAAAATAACTTGTTGTGCTCGGTGCTAGCTGTTAGCCACTCATAGCACTCATAGTTGCAATCTTTGAAATGGCGCACAAAACCTTTGTTAGCGAATTCAGTTTGGGTGTAGGTCTTCCTTTCTCAGTTATTTCTCTTTTGTCTGCAAAAGAGCGCCTTGAAAAAGGCGTTTTTAGTAGATTGGCAACTAGATCTGGTGTAGATGCGCGACTGCGGCTCTGTTTCTTTTCGTTGAATTTCACTTTCATACCTTGGAAATTCCCGACTATCGCTGGGGGTAGCACTGGGCACGTCGCTAGACATCTTTCAACAAAAGGGTAGTAATGCTGGCCGCAGACTTTTTTTATGTCGGATATTCCAGTTCAACCTCAACAAAACTAATCATAGGCAAATTTGTGGACATTACACACATGAAAATTACACATAAATAATCAATAAAAGCATTTTTCACACAATTTTATTTTTTATGGGGCCAGCAGAGAAGGCCCTGCTGACCCTGACGGCCCACCACTGATCAAAACAACTCTTTAGTCCCCCACCTTTAAAGGGAGGAAAAGCTGAGTGTCATCAGCATAGAGATGGTAATATACATTGCTTCTGACAAATATCAGCCAGAGGAAGTATATAGATGTTAAATGATACTGGACCCAAAATAGATCCTTGAGGGACCCCACATTTCGTTATAACAAAGAAGATGAACATTTCCTAATTTTATAGAAAAAGTTCTACCAGGAATATATGTAAATAAGACTGTGTGCAGGAATCCAAGGAAATGCTCTTAAGTCCTATTCAGACGGGACTAGTTTTACAGGGTGTCGTTAGAGAAATTTGTGTTTCACAGATACTTTGCAATTTTAATCCCATCCGAATCTGCCAAATCTGTGTTTTTCCCACACAACCTCTGTAATAATTCCAAAGCAAATTACCTACGGTTTTTCAGCAAACTCAGTGATCCTCTTGAGAAAACTAATCCTGTCTGAATGTGAATGTCTGTGATTGCGAAAATATTTTTTTCACAACGCATTTCTCTTACTACTGCACAGATTTTTGATATGTTTGCCTCCTGGCTAAGAACTTATAAAATAATAATTCAATCAAGATATCAGCGTCAGGTAAGATTACTCACCTTCATTTCTGCACTCAATTACATAATGTTTTAATTAACATTACGTATGTACCTTTATGTAAATTAAACATGGTTTTACTACAAATAAATAAAAAAAATAAAATAGTTAAACTAAAGTAACCACACATTAAGAATGGTTTTGCTATACTAGCCATATAGCTTCACCATGGTATTTGTATTAAAACTGTGGTCATACTATGGTAATCAATCCGAATGACTATACGCAATGCATGCATACATTGTCCGAATTGGTACATGAAAATCGCAGATGTCGGGTGACAAGAATCAAAACTCATACATAGTTTAGAAAACTAGTCCCGTTCGAATAGGGCTTTACAGCACACAATATTTATTTGGTATGTTTAGTGTCAAATGCTGCTGTCAGATCAATTAAAACCAAAATTACACACTTTCCTGAATCGGTGGCCAGGAACAGGTCATTAGACACTTGGAGAAGGGCTGATTCTGTACGGAGTTGGGCGCTGTGTAGGCTTCATATAGCGCCAACCCCTCCACCTCTACCCGATGGTGGTTAAAGAGTTTTCAGATAAATAGTCCAGATCGCCAGCACTGAGCCAAGTCTCTGTCATGAACAAAAAGTCCAGCTCCCAAGAGGAGATAGAATTATTTGATACAAAGGTCTTATTTGAGATGGACCTAGCATGTAAGCGTTTATCAAATTGTTAACTGTAGATAAAGATGAGGAGGTGGTAATAGACAGTCTTTGATGTGGAACAAACTCCAGTGCTTGAAGATGATAAACATTTGCTCCACCTCCACGAAACCTCCTGCTCCGTGTTCTGCAATGAGACGTCGTCTCCGGATGCTCCAGAAAAACACCGTGTAGAAAAGAAAACCTTACACAAAGAATACCGTAGACCGAATGATATGCCCCGGCTAATGCCATCCACAGCTGATTATTCTGATAAAATCTGACAAAGACTGCGGCTGATTCTTTGAGTCTCACAAGAGCACTGCCTCTCTTCCCCCGATTCCTGTGCCATTATTTCAGATGAATTGAACAATCCAGTAGATGTTAGCCGGTAGATGAGCCAAGAATGCAGATTCCAACCGCACACATTCACGGCAACAAGGTTCTGAATACTAAGCAAGTACTCTTTCTACAGATAGACAAAAGAGTAATAAAAGGACAAACACAAACACCAGGTGATGGCTTGCCGATAGACACACTGGCGCCATCTTGC